TAGAAACAAATGTTTTTTTCCAAAATCAATTATTTTGTTAGAGACAAGCAGAAGTTTTTTGAATCATTCAATCGGACGCTTATTTCTCACAAAAACTGCCATTTTTTTAACATTTAGCTCCGTATCTTCGAAATGGCTGAGCCTGCCTCTGCCAAAAACTAATAAACACTTCTCCCAATCATTACTAATTGAATGTTTTTTAGATCATTCAAATCGGATGCTCCGTTCTCTCAAAAACTCGATTTCTATTTTCTGCACTCTTTTTCTCCTCGTAACTGCTGGACCTGCCTTCGCCAAAAACTAATCAACACGTCTCCTTATCAATACGAATCGAATGTTTTTTGAATTATTCAAATTGCTTCATCCGTGTTCCCGAAATCGCCGACGAAAATTTTATCTGCACACACATACATACACGCACGCACACACACACACATACCCATTTTTTCTAAGGTATACCAAATTGTTCAGAGGGTTTTGAAACGTAAAGATATATAAAATTTTCATTTTCGATTTTTTTTTCGATTACTACGGGAAGTTAATATAATACACTGATGATGAGACAAACATAGTCTCGAAACGTTTGTAAAATTAATACTATTTAATATATTAGAGCAAAAAAGAGTGATTAAAAAATTTCTTTTTAATTTTTAAAAATTCTTAATCATTGCGTTTGGAACGGTTTGCAAATAAATTGAATAATTTTATAAAAAAAATTTAATTTTTTGTTGAAAATAATTTCGAAAATTTGAATTTTTTCTTTTAAATTACAAAATTTCAAAATTTTCTGTAAAGACTTTCTGCACACCGTCTACTCAAGCAAAATGTTTTGTGAATTAATTTAATCGGATGATCCGTTCTCTCAAAAACTGCATAATCGTTTTTACACCCCTTTGCGCTCCATACCCCCGAAACGGCAAAATTGCGTTTTGCAAAAACGCATCGCGATCAAGTACAAACCAAATGATTTTCATTCATAGTTTGATATACGTATATTTAAAAAAAAAAGAAAAATATTATTAAAATCTCTATAAAATATCTGATAATACGATGTGCTAATGTCTAATTATCATTTTTGACCGCCAAATGCCATTTTTTATACTTTTTTTTTTTTATTGTAACTATATAACCGCTGGACCTGTCTTTTCAAAAACTTGCACAGTTCTCCTTTTCGTCAATACAAGTAAAATATTTTTTGGATTATTAAAATCGGACGCTCGGTTATATCAAAACCGAAATACCAATTTTAGCCCTTTTGCCCCGTATCTCCGAAACCGCTGGACCTGCCTTTGCCAAAAACTAATCAGCACATCTCCGTTCAAAGTATTCTTCATTTGTTCAAAATGACGGCATTTACATAGGATTTTGGGTTTGATATAGGAAGCGGCGCATATAGGAATTGGGTAGCAATTTTTTTTTTGCCGCGAATAAAGAACTTCTACTAAACCAGCATCTGTACTATGTATTTATATATTAAACAATTACATACAATACACTAATTATGAGTAACAAACAGAATAATATAATGCACAAATTAGAATTAATATCCTGTATTCATATAAGTTGTGTAATTATAAGGACTGTTTTTTTACAGTTTGTTTCCTAGTATGTCCTCTTTCATGTCGCATTAATATAGGTTTTGTTTTGAATGTTTTATTGCATGTCTTACATTCATAAGGTCGTTCTTCAGAATGCACTGATGAATGCTTCCTTAAATTAAATATCAGTGCAAATCTTTTATTGCATATTTTGCACTCATGAGGCCGTTCTCCAGTATGGATCATTTCATGTTGTTTTAAGCTATTTTTTGCTGTGAATGTTTTATTGCATGTTTCGCATACATAAGGACGTTCTCCAGTATGAACTGATAAATGCTGTCTTAAATGACTTGACTGTGAAATGTTTTATTGCATGTCTTACATTCATAAGGTCGTTCTCCAGTATGCAGTGATAAATGCCGCCTTAAATGACCTGACTGTAAGAATCTTTTATTGCATATTTTGCACTCATGAGGCAGTTTCCCAGTGTGAATCAATTCATGTTTGTTTAAGCTTTGTTTCGAATTAAATGTTTTATTACATATTTCGCAAACATAAGGACGTTCTCCAGTATGAACTAATAAATGTGTTTTTAATTCACTTAACTGTAAAAATGTTTTATTGCATATTTCGCACTTATGAAAACTTTCTCCAGTATGCACAAATTTATGTTGATTCAAGCCTTGTTTCATTCTGAATGTTTTATTACATATTTCACATGCGTAAGGACGTTCTCCAGTATGAATTGATAAATGCCGTCTTAAATTACTTATCTGTGAAAATGTTTTATAGCAAATTTGCACTCATAAGAAAGTTCTATATTATGGATCTTTTCATGTCGTTGTAAGTCTTGTTTTGCTACAAATGTTTTACTACATGATTTACATTTATATTTCAACTTACTAGTTGTCTTACGCTTTCCTGAAACTTCTTCAAATGATTTGTTCGTGTTATCCACTGAATTACTTGATTCACTGATCTCGTCGTTACATATAGAAGAATTTTCATCTAAAACTATTTTGTTTGTACTAGTCACATCATGTTGGTCATCAATCGTCTCTTGTTTTATTTCCTCGTCAATTGTAACCTCGGATTTTAAAAATTGCTGCAGACATATATCATCATCCATATACAAATCTGATGTATTTTCACAATCATCAAATTCCTGTTTCACTTGAGGATAATCATCGAATGGTTCGGTTTTAATTGTTTTGGTAAAATCTATTTCATCAGACATTTTGAGGTTAGTTTAGTTACAATAGACTAACTTTTGATGAATTCTTAAAATTGAGAAGTCTAAGTGTATAATAATATATGTGTTTCGATATTTACTAATTCGTTTATTGTTTAATATGATATAATGCAAACACTGACCTTCTTACTATTATTTTAAATTTCTCATTGAACGTATAATTCCATAAAACACTTTGACATTACTCCTCCATTTTGCTTTTATAAACAACAGATCAAGCTGAAGTTAAACACAAATCAGCTGTAAGTTTTTTCGGCGGCAAAATGTGAAATCCGAAACAATTATTAATTTCAACAAAAAATATAATAAGAATCTGAATATACAAAAGTTTTTGAAGGGAGGACAAATATATATATATATATATATATATATATATATATATATATATTGTTAGCGAAATATATTGTGTGAACACATTAAAAAAAAAAATTGACGATTTTTATGATTATTTTTTTGACGGTAGAATCCATAGTCTTCTAGATCAAACTAAATATTACGGCCCTACGACAACTGGTTCAGCTTTAAAATTCGTCAAAGTTTGCAAAAATTGGTATCGTTTTTTTGGCATTTGTCAAAATTAGACCTTTGATCGACGCTTTCTCCAAAACGCCTGAGCCGATTTTAGAAATTTAAAAGCTATTTGATGTATTTTGGTGAGGACTATCGTTTGTCAGTTTTGTGTGACGATCTGCCAAGCCGTTTCTTTGCAATTTGAAAAAAAGTGTTAAATTTTCGTCCACATTTAAGCTCATCCTACCGAACCGATTTAAAAAAATCAAAAACTGTTCGAAAGATATTAGTTGGGAATGAAACTGATTAGTTATAGGTGAAAATCTACCGAGCCGTTTTCTTGTAATTCGTTGTTGAAAAAAAAATTTAAGCCGATTTTCATGGAACTTTTTTTGGCGATATACATCATGGTCTTATAGAACTTACTGTAATAATGAAATACGAGTGTTATTGAAAATTGAATGCTAGTTTTTTTAAATATTAATATTGCACAAATTACTGGATTATAATCAACCCGCGAATCGCCTCGATTTTCTAAATAAATTTAAAATCAATGTATTTTTATACGCTTTTAGATTATATCTAATTTTTTTGTGCACTAAATCCAGAATAATGATAAATTAATTTATTTATTTCACTTATTTTTGTTAAATCAAAGTTATAGAACTTAAAAAATGCATTTCAGAAATAGTATTTATTATTTTGATATCAAGATCTTTATATCAAATTAATAAATACTATTTATGAAATGCATTTCTTAAATTCTATAACTTTAATTTAACAAAAATATTAATTCTTTTGCTATGGTAGTCGAACTTACATCCTTAATCAATTTAATACATTTTGAATATTACTAAAATGTGAAATTATGACAGGGATTGTTTTATCTATTGATATCGACAATAATAAATAAATTTAAAATCAATATATTTTATACCCTTCTATATTATATCTAATTTTTTGTGTACTAAATCCAGAATAATTAAAAATTAATTTAAAAAAAAATATGTAAATATTTATATAATTTTCATGATAAACTGTTAAAACGGTGAAAATTAATAGGGGGGGGCGCTAAAAAGAAAGTTGCATGCGGGCGCTAAGGACCCCAGGACCGGCCCTGTATATATATATATATATATATATACATATATATATATATATATATATATATTATTTTTTTTGTTTTGTTTGTTCATACTTTAGCTTAAATACGCGTTACCCATGTTCAAAGTCACTCAGAAGTTGAGTGGTAATGTTCATAATTATGTAACGTACAATAAATCGTCTGAGACTTTTCACCAAACTATAAACTATAAAAATTAGTCGGGTTTTCCTTCCTGACGATATAATTCCAGAAAGCACGAACCGATTTCGACAATTTTGCATTCTTTGGAAAGGTCTCGGGCTCCGTGCTAAGAAAATTAGTGGTGCATGGCATCGTGCCCTAATGCAAATTGCTGAAACTTCACGCACCGTAATTAAAAATTCGAGTAATGACATTAGTGAGAATTATCAGAATTATGCTTGCAATTAAGTCAACGAGCAATTCTTGCCGCAAAGAATAATGGTGTACACGCACTGAATTTTACCATTCAATCAAAAATTGCTGGCGATTTGGTGCCATACCAATGATTCCGACTGGTCTTCCGTTTGACTTCAAACGATTGCAATTTCCAGTTTGCAATAACAAGTCGCAAGGCCAATCGCTTAGTGTTTGCGGGATAAATTTCAAATAGATTATTTAGAAAATCATCGTTTTTCACATGGGCAGTTATACGTATTCTGTTCACGAGTTGGAAAACCATCCGCTTTGTTCGTGTTAACGTCAGACCAAAAAACAAAAAATGTGGTTTACCAAAGAGCACTTCAATGAAACGGATAATTTGCGGATTCACTTCCATTTACTTAGAGAAGTTCAACTAAAAAACACTTAATTTTTGTAATCGAAATAAATTCATTACTGTTGTGTAATAAAATCAAGTTTTTCCTTTTAAAATATAAAACAAACAAAACATTTCTTCATTTTTCTCACGAAACCATCTGGTGGCGAAACGGAGTTCGTCGAGTTTGCTAGTTATTTATATTATTATTATTCTTTTTATTATATATAGTTTTTGTTGTTAAATAATAGCAAAATAGCTTATAGAATTATAAGTAATTTTGATTGCTGATTATTAATTAATAATTTTTTTTAAAAAAAAATTACATTTTAGTACAAATCTTGATTTAATGAAAAATGCCTAAATCAGAAGAATATTTTACCCTGTTCTTTGAAAATAATAAAACAAATTAAACATTTGAGTTGTGTACTAAACGTAAGTTTATTGATTAGAAATTATTTCTATATTATTCGTAGTTTCTATAAATCTTTGAAGTTATTAAAATGGAAAATATTTTTTAGGCAAGACATATATTACTGTTGTATAAAGAATGAGATTATATCGCCAGCGAAAAAGTAAAAAAAATACAAGCAGTCAATGAATGTATGTTAATTTTAATTACATGAAGTTCTTCAAACACAATTACATGGCGAGTGAAGTTGCGAAAACAATATTTAAAACAATTCAAGACGATGTTAACTGAGCATATTAATAATTTAAACCATAATATAAATTTTTTCAAGCCAAAAATTTTACATTTTGAAGAGAACGTAATTAAAAGAAGTGTGGGAGTTGTGATGATTATGATAATATGTTATATTATAAACTGCCAACATATAAAAATATATCAAATTTATTGACTATAAAAATATTACGATATCAAAAATATACATGACAAGTCCAATTGGTTTTTACAAATCATCACCAGCCTGCTTGATTTCCCCACAGAAGATTCGCGAAGGGGTTGTTTTTACAATTGCATAACCACAGAGTCATAAACAAACGCTTCGACAATACGGCCCTGAACGAAACAAACATGTGGTTCCTAAATAGCATGTCAAAATTTCTTTTCATTGTTTCATTTCATTTCAAAATTAAGAAATTGGATTTTCTGGTGAAAATCATAAACTTCTTTGGGAAGTTAATAATAATGAAAATTGTAGAATTTTAGAAAAAATGGTTGGACTTTGAATAAAACAAAAATAAATAGCATTTGTACTATGTATTGATATTATTACATACAATTCACCGATTACGAATAACACAGTTGTTGCTGAAATATATATTAAATAAAGCGCAATTGATATGGTAAATCAATATAAGTTGTGTAATGGATAAGGATTATTAGGTCAGGCAGTTTCTTGACTGATTCAACAGTTTTGTTGACTTTTTTATTACAGTTTGTTCTCTAGTATGTTTTCTTCTTTCATGTTGCATTAATATAGGTTTTGTTTTGAATGTTTTATTGCACGTCTCACATTCATAAGGTCTTTCTTCAGTATGCACTGATAAATGCTGCCTTAAATTACCTAAATCTGAAAATCTCTTATTGCATATGTTGCACTCATGAGGCCGTTCACCAGTATGCACTAATGAATGCTTTCTTAAATTACTTATCAGTGCAAATCTTTTATTGCATATTTTGCACTCATAAGAGCGTTCTCCAGAATGAACCTCTTCATGTCTTTTTAACAAGCTTTTCATTCTGAACGTTTTATTACATATATCACATGAGTAAGGACGTTCACCAGAATGCACTGTTAAATGGTTTCTTAAAGTACTTGACTGTGAAAATCTTTGATTGCATATATTACACTCATAAGGCCGTTCTCCAGTATGTACTATTTTATGTTGAGTTAATGTATGTTTTGTTTTGAATTTTTTATTGCATATTTCACAATCATAAGCACGTTCTTCAGTATGCACCGATGAATGCTTTCTTAAATTACTTATCAGTGCAAATCTTTTATTGCATATTTTGCACTCATGAGGCCGTTCTCCAGTGTGGATCATTTCATGTCGGATTAAGCTATTTTTTGCTGTGAATGTTTTATTGCATATTTCACAGATATACGGGCATTCTTCAGTATGCACTGATAAATGCTCTCTTAATCTATATGACTGTAAAAATCTTTTATTGCATATTTTGCACTCATGAGGCCGTTCCCCAGAGTGAATCGCTTCATGTCTCTTCAAGCTATTTTTTGTTGTGAATATTTTACTGCATGATTTACATTTATATGATTGCAAGTTTTTAGTTGTTTCCCTTTTGCCTGAAACTTTTTCAAATGATTTATTGATGCTATCCACTAAATTACTTGATGTATTGATTTCTTCGTTACATATATAAGAACTTTCATCTTGGTCATCAATCGTCTCTTGTTTTATTTCCTCGTCAATTGTAACCTCAGATTTAAGAAATTGCTGCAGACATATATCATCATCCATATATAAATCTGATGTATTGTCATAATTATCAAATTCCTGTTTCACTTGAGGATAATCATCGATCGGTTCGGTTTTAATTGTTTTGTTAGAATCTGTTTCTTCAGACATTTTTGAGGCTAGTTTGGTTACAGTAGAGAAGTCTAAGTGTATAATAAATATGTTTCGAAATTTACTAATTCGTTTACTATTTAATATAATATAATACTAGCACTGACCTTCATACTATTATGTTAAATTTCTCATTCAACCTTAATTCCATAAAACACTTTGACATTTCTCCTCCATTTTGTTTTGATCAACGTGTGATCAGGTTGGACAACATTAAGCACATTTTAAATGCGAATTTTTCGGCGGCAAAATTTGAAATCCGAAATTATTATTAATTTTAACAGAAAAACATAAAATCTGAACATACGAAAGTTTTTGAGGGGGAACAAATAAATATATACGTGTTTTCATTAAGAAACCATAAAAAATATGTATGCACTTGTGGGAATCAAAGAGGCTATGAGTTTTTAAGAAAAACAATATTCATATCATGACATTTTGTATAGATAATGATAATTTTTAATACATTTTTATAAAACATAGAAATATATTTCTGTTAATTCATATATTTCTATACGGTAACCTACGACATCTACAATGAAGATACAATAACTACTAAGATTACTAAATTTGCTCATTCAAATAATAGATAAACATCAATATGGTTTCCTCCCTTCATCAAATACACAAGGGCCCTAATAGATTTGTCTAATACCATCAGTCAGCACCTTGAGGAAAATATGCATACTAACAGCTGCCATTTTTATTGATTTACAAAAAGCTTTGGCATTACTCAATAAACTAATTTTGATTTCGATTTGGGTGTAGAAGATTTGTCTTACAGCATAATTAAAGATTTCCTCATGGAAAGGATGATAACCTGTGGAGTCCCACAAGGTTCTGTATTAGGACCTTTATTACATCTATTATACACCAATAACATTAAAGACGCTTAAAAATTAAAGGGTAGATACATATTATATGCAGAGGATACTGCGATAGGATAAGGATAAAAAAAAGACTCGAAGATACTATAAACACGGACATGAAAATATACATTGAGTGGCTAACTGAAAATAAACTAACAATTAACATCGATAAAACAAAATACATATATTTCAAACATAGAAAAAATACCGAGAACACTAAACTAAATATTAACGTAAATAATAGAGAAATAGAAGAAGTGGAAAGCATAAAACACTTAGGACTGATAATAAATGAAAAACTGACATGGACAGAACATATAAACAAAATAAAAAGAAACATAGGAACATTAACAGGGGCATTGAAAAGGATCCACTTTTTCGGCAAAAAAAATAAAATACTAATTCTTAAAACACAAATAATATCTATAATTTTATATGGAATAACTTGAGAGGAAATATCATATGGAGCGCAGTAAAATATATAATGAATTGCCAAATGATATTAAGATGACCAATGATGACGATAAATTCAAAAGAAAAATAAAGAAATACTATAAGGAAATTGAAGACAAAGAAGACTGAAGAGTTATATATAAAAATATTTTAATTATAATAGATATTATATTAATGAAATAGTCAAATGATAAATGTATACATATTATATGAAAACTGTTTTTCATAATCTCTCATACCAGGCAACTCTGCCTGACTGAGATATGAAAATAATGTATATATATATATATATATATATATATATAATTTAAAAAAAAATATATATATATAAAAAACCACGAATAATACAAATTAATTCAATAAACTTACGTTTCTTACACGACACGGATTTTTCATTTGTTTTTTTTTATTTCCATTAAAATTATTTACTGAAGACGGGATAAATTATTCTACCGATCCACATATTTTTTAATCAAATCGAGATTTCTACTAGGACGTAACCTTAAAATCTAATTACGTATGTGGCGTACGCCCTCGCACGTGACACGACGACCAATCACAACCGACCCGTATAGAAATGATATCATCGAGAGCGAATGACGAATCATTGGCACTCGACTCTTATTTGCCGTAACGCACTTCCGTTGCATTTGCACAGATTTACACCCTAGTCGCGCCTAAAAGAGTTTTACTAAGAATATTGAAGAATTGAAGAACAAAAATAGTAATGTTTCGAATAAAACAAAAATAAATAGATTTTGTACTATGTATTGATATTATTAAACAATTACATACAAGGCACTAGTTAGAATAACTGAAATATATATTAAATAAAGTGCATTTAATATCCTGTGTATCAATATAAGTTGAGTGATTGATGAGGATTATAAGGCCAGACAGTTTCTAGGCTAATTTATCAGTTTTGTTGACTGTTTTTTTACAGTTTGTTCTCTAGAATGTCTTCTTTCATGTTGCCTTAATGAATGTTTAGTTTTGAATGTTTTATTGCATGTCTCACATTCATAAGGGCGTTCTTCAGTATGCACTGATAAATGCTGTTTTAAACTACTTAACTGTGAAAATGTTTTATCGCATATATTACACTCATGACAGCGTTCTCCAGTATGTACTATTTCATGTTGAGTTAATGTTTGTTTTGTTTTGAATTTTTTATTGCAAATTTCACATTCATAAGGTCGTTCTTCACTATGCACTGATAAATGAGATATTAAATTACCTATCAGTGCAAATCTTTTATTGCATATTTTGCACTCATGAGGCTGTTCTCCAGTATGGATCATTTCATGTCGGATTAAGCTATTTTTTGCTGCGAATGTTTTATTGCATATTTCGCACACGTAAGGACATTCTCCAGTATGAACTGATAAATGCTGTCTTAAATAACTTATCTGTAAAAATGTTTTATTACATATTTTGCACTCATAAGAGCGTTCTGCAGAATGGACTGCTTTATGTTGTTTTAAAAATTTTTTCATTTTGAATGTTTTATTACATATTTCACATGTGTAAGGTCGTTCTTCAGTATGCACTGATAAATGCTGTCTTAAATTACTTGACTGTGAAAATCTTTTATTGCATATTTTGCACTCATAAGGGCGTTCCCCAGTGTGAATCATTTCATGTTGTTGTAAGCCTTGTTTTGCTGTGAATGTTTTATTGCATGATTCACATTTATATTTCAACTTACTAGTTGTCTTACGCTTTCCTGAAACTTTTTCCATTGATTTGTTCGTACTATCTACTATCATACTTGATTCACTGATCTCTTCTTTACATAGGGAAGAACTTTCATCTAATACAGTTTTGTTTGTACTAGTCAAATCATCTTGGTCGTCAATTGTCTCTAGTTTGATTTCCTCGTCAATTGTAACCTCGGATTTAAGAAATTGCTGCAGACAGAAATCTGATGTATTTTCACAATCATCAAATTCCTGTTTCACTTGAAGATAATCATCGATCCGTTCGGTTTTAATTGTTTTGTTTGAATTTGTTTCTACAGACATGTTTGAAGTTTGTAGGTTATAATAAATAAACTGGTGATGATTTCTTAAAATTGAGAAGTCTAAGTGTATAATAATATATGTGTTATGATTTTCACTATTTTGTTTGTTGTTTAATATGATATAATGCTAACACTGACCTTTTAGCTAAATTTATCTTCGAATTTAACTTTAACAGTTCCATAAACCACTTTGATATTTCTCCACTATATGTGTTTTACAAACCCGTGATCAGGTTGGACAACATTGAGCACATTTTAAATGCGAGTTTTTCGGCGGCAAAATTTGAAATCCTAAATTATTATTAATTTTAACAGAAAATATATAATCTCAATATACAAAAGTTTTTGAGGAGGGGACAAATATATATATATATATATATATATGTGTGTTATATATGTGTGATATATATATGTGTTGAAATTTTAATAATTTTGATGTAGAGATATGTTAGAATCAGTTTTCAGGGCAATACATCAATTAAAAACTTGTATAAACTTATAACATTCTTATTACGTTTCGGAAATTAAATTTATATTATTTATATTTTTTATTATTTATATAAAATCTAGAATACTTGATAAATTATATTGAGCACTCTAACTGAACTATAGATACGGAGACTGCAATGTGATATCATTAGAAACAATTAACCTATTAATTACTCTGCAAATGAGTAAATAACAACTCTGTTTATTGCTTAATCTACTTATTCAATTTTTTCTTTGTTTGAAGTTACCGTGGAATCGAAAAAGAAATTATCTAGTGTTCAATCTCATAAACGCAAACATGCGAAAGATTAAATTAATTATTGGGCATTATTGAAAAATTGCGAGCTGATTTAGTTGAAACGGAACTGATTAAAAAATATGAACAAATTATAATCGGGATAATGAAAAATGGGGAGTCAGTGCTTATAAAATGGCATGTTTATCCCGAGAAATTGAATTGTAACATTTGCTTTTGTTGCAAATGTTTCGCATCTGTTGAACTTTGAATGTTGAAAACATGCGTGGAACAAATATGAAAAATGGAAGCAAAATTTACTTTGGAACGAAAATCTTAAGGCTTTTTTTATACCTTGTGGTGTCCATACTCTAAACTTAATAATTATTAACTAAGCAGAAATAATACATATCAAATATAATTAGTTTTTCGTCAATATAGTTCAAGAAATGTGTAATTTCTTTGCATTTTTACTCATTTTTCGACAATACTTCTAAAATAAAAAAAAAATAAAAATTTAACTTTAAAACAACAATCTGATAATCTGAATATAACGAGAAAGCAAGGATGAATACAATTCGGCTCCTACGATATCAATAAGGAGACGTTTACGACCCAATTTTGGATATTGTGAAAGATAAAATTAAATTAAAATTTAAAAAATCCAACATGAAATACGAGTGTTATGATTGAAAACAACAAGATAGTTTTTCTTAGCTGTCTTGGCATGATTTGCTCAATAGAATAAATCGCACAATAAATAAGTAAAATGTTTCAAAACCCAAATATTAATATTGCACATACGTTAAAAATAATTGAAATTTTGAGAATATTTGATTATAATCAACCCGCGAATTATATATATTCCGATTTTGATAAATATTTATACACGATTATTCGGATTTTGATAAATCTTTCTGAAGTTTGTTAAGGAAACTTTTTAGGATATATGTGATTATAAAGTACTGGGATGTGTGTGCAATATTGTAGAAATAAATGGAAAAAATTGCAAAAATCAACATGTCATTGTTTGCATTGAAAACAAATGAAAACTATCACCTGCCAAAAATTTCAATTTACTCATGAACCTAGACAATATTAGAATATGTGTAATAAATTTATCATTACAAATAAGAAAAATGAAATGTCTACATTATTATTGCCGAAAAACGGCTGAGATGTGCCAGAAATTAAAATATTAGGTTGTCAAATATCTCCCTTCCGCCTTTTTGTATTATAAACCAAGAGCAAAAAAGCGGAAGGGAGATATTTGACAACCTAATAATATAAAATACAATATACGTATGGCAGATCGAATTATACACATATGAACAAATATGACAAATTAATTCACTTAAAATATGAAATTAAGTATTAATCACGGCCGGTCCTACCTTTAATGCGATGCGCACGCCTTAGGGGGCGCCTACATAAGATTCCGATATTAAATTATCAATATAGTTTTATTTTTCAATATATAATGTCTTTGCATCTTTTAGTAATCTTTCCACAGTATTTTTAAAATTCGTACAAATTTCACTTTATAACAACAAATGGGAAAGTAAAGATGAATACATACAATTCGGCACTCACGATATCGATTAGGAGAAGTTTAAGATGCAATTTTGGATATCTTAAATAATAAAAAAACAGTGCGCGTAAGGATCACACGCGATTGAAGTAAAACTTATTTGCTACTGTACAAAATGGCATTTAAGTAAAAATAAATACATCGTATAACAATTTTGAATAATGTTTATTTGTAATATGGTAACACTCGTGATGCACACATTTATTAGTGTCGTCAATCATTATACACATTTATATAACGATAAATTATAAATTATATATTTATGATTGCATTAAAAATATGTATAATATTTACGAACAATAATGTAATCAAAGTCGTACTTGAAATATGACATGATCGTTTTAAAGTAATTGCTGATTAATAAATTCTATAATATTCATTCACACAGTGGATTATGTTAAACAACGCCAAAACAAATATTGTTTTTGCAAATTAACTCATCCTGTAACAATTTTGTTTGAAGAACTTCATGTAATTAAAATTAACATACATTCATTTACTGTTTGTATTTTTTTACTTTTTCGCTGACGATATAATCTCATTCCTTGAACAGCTGTAATATCCGTCTTGCCTAACAAATTGAAGCCATACTTTTATATTTGTTTTATTTATCAAGCCCTGCATATAGCTTGATCTATGAATCATTTGCTATTTTATGTAAACGTTAGTTAATGCAATGATCGTCATCAATATTACGAGGTAATAAATTAACCATATTAGTAATGTCAACAGGCACATTTATAATTTGGCCAAACATTCCAAATCGTCTAATTTGCATGAAACACAACATAGGTGAAATTAACCTTTCAGATACAGTATCTAGTTTAGGTAGATAATTTGGTATAGGTGGAAATACAAACCCGCTAAACTTACACAAAGTGGGAATTTCACCCGAATTTAATGCCTTTCGACAAGTTTGACATCCAACCTGATTATTTTATCCAACCTAACCCATGTCGCGCCTAAAGAAGTTTTACTTCAAAAAATGTTTAGAGACTACGAGCTAAATACAAAACTCAAGTGAAAGTCGACACATTTTGTTTTGTTTTCGACACATGATTTGACATTTGATGTATTTTTTGTTTTGCTCGCAGACTAGATCGAATAATTGCGATAGCTGCGCCTACTAGCGTCGTAGTGTTCAACTTCACGTTGGCGTTTTCGTTGCATTTGTACGGACTTACACCCGTGTCGCGCCTAATGAAGTTTTTACACCCATGTCGCGCCTAAAGAAGTTTTACTTCAAAAATGCATATAAATTTGCAGAAGGCAGCTTTTACCACTCTAAATTCTTCTGAATTTACATGTTGTTGTAAGTTCGATCATTTTCTTAACAATTACCACAAAAAAAATGCCGTCCGAACATCGTCTTTCGTACTACCGGTCAAATGACCGGTCGCGGTCGGTAAGACAGTATAAAATTTTTTTTCCAAAAGTAAAAATTGAAAAAACAAATTTACATTGAAAAATGTATCATACTCACATATTAGGAAAAGTCATGAAGACTGATGACCATTCAATTACGTTTAACACTATTCCTACCGGGACCGGTCAAATGACCGTTTTTGATTTTTCTATTAGTATTTTTCATATTAAACGTCATTGAATCGTCATCAAACTTCATGACTTTTTCTAATATGTGAGTATGATACATTTTTCAATGTAAATCTGTATTTTCAGATTTTTATTTTTGTAAAAAAAATTGTATACTGCCTTACCTACCGCGACCGGTCATTTGACCGGCAGTACGAAAGACGATGTTCGGACGGCATTTTTTGTAGTAGTTGTTAAGAATATGATCGAACTTACGAGAAAATGTAAATTCAGAAGAATTTAGAGTGGTAAAAACTGTCTTCTGCAAATTTATATGCATTTTTTCCTATTCTGTATGCACGCTGCGCATATGAGGCAAGGTGTATAAATATTGCACTTCTACGGTATACAAAGTGGGTTTTCTCATTTTTGCTCAATGTCTTTTTTACTAAGAAATCCAAACAACAAATTGATAGGTTTTGTTCTGAATCCGAAGGTTGGTTCAACTACATTGATAGCAATCAAAATTGTTGTAAAAGACCACGTATTATTATCGACAAACATATATTTTCAATAAAGGTAAGGTGTAAATTTATTCAACACATGTTCAATAATATTCAGGAAAACGTAGTATAAAATTCTAGTAACTGTTCAATATACGATGTAAATATAATTATGCCCAGCAAATCGCACAAATGGGGTGTAAAATTTTGATAACCGTCTAGTATAATCCATTATTAAAATATGTCTTAACATAAAATGTTTGAATATGAAATCATTGATTTAGAATTATTTTATAAATAAATATATAACTTATCTTAAAACTAATTTAATGTTAATTACTCATATAGATATTTATATATACTGAATGACGATATATTATTACATATTGATCAGAATTTTTAAGTTTGCATGATGTATATAGTAAATCGATGAGCAATATCACAAATATATGTAAAATGGTTTAGACAACTTGCAAAGATCTTAAGATATTATATGAAATGATGTTTGAAATAAATCTTCTACATTTTCCAAATTTTAAACATGCTTCCAGCTTAGAATGCTCTAATTAGGTATTTATAAAAAAAGTATCATATGCCTAAATCGATACAGTAAAGAAAACGTTTTATCAAGGACACATGCACGTTTAGTTTGTAATTTGAAAACGCAACTAAAACGAAACCGTTACGTAACCGAGCAACAAAATGGCTGCGATAGTATGTGTATGTGTATAACATATGTGTGACTTCTATGTTACGTACACGCAATGTTATTCTGGTTACGTTAGATTAACGTAGTAATTACACTTTGTAATTTGCTTGGTATTAACACATCAAATTATATTGAAAACTAAAACTGATATTTAAAAAATCGGTTTACAGTTTCCTAAATTAAAAGTTCCAATATAACTTTATATTATTTTAGTCCTTGTTTTGATTTTATATATGTATCTTTCTATGATATTATTATGATTATCAATGCAAAAAATATTACTGTTTGATAAAACTATATATCCAACTTTAAAAATGTGAGTGTTTAAACCTACGATGGATCGATTGAAGAAAATGCAGGAACAGAAAATTATTAAAAGATAATTATAGTAAAAGAAATTTTTTTTTCTTTTCAGTATTTTATGAATTATTAATTAGCAGTATTTATTTGGTAATGAATTGGTGATAATGAGTTGATGGTGAGTCTCTATATATAAATACTGATTCTTTACAATAGTTTTGGTTCGGATCAAAGAACCTAATGACATTGCTTGCAGAAGATTAAGCTTTAAAGATTCAAATATAAAGGGAAACGCCCGCAGGAAGTTAATAGACTAATACGTAGAAAACTGAGAAATTCTTTGAAGATTTATAACCATGGTTTCATTGCAATGAAACCGTATTATCAAAATCGCTAGTTTGATGCAAAAAAATTTAAACGTTTTTACCATCCTACTTAAAGCTAAACTTTTAGTAAAAAAAGAAATTGTGATGGTAGGTACAATTGAAGCAATATAACATCTACAAATACTGGTAGAACTAAAAATCAAGGACTTAACTCAAATAATATTTACAATTTTGGAAGCTAAGAAAGAAGATTCTAATTTCCACTTACATACACATATGTTGAAAAAATTACACTAATACGGGAGTCAATTCAATTGGTATTAGCGTCGTGTTTGGTGTAGATGTCATTCATAAAGTAGCCAAAAATCATTCGGTAAAATATGAATTTTAGAGAGAATTTATCAAAAATTTACATTACTTTGTATTTATTCATGATAAATCCATTGTTTTCACATAAAGAAAAATACGGGAAGACGATGTACAAGGACTTTCTATTACAATTAACTTCCCGTATAGTTCCAACAAGAATTCAGAAAAAAATCAACAAGATCAAAACAGATTCCCTAAAAGAAAATATTCCAGATAATGTTTCAGAAAGATGATAGGGCGAACAAAATCAGCCAAAAACGTAAAAGTGCGTGTGCAGAAAATACACTCTAAGAAAAAAAATCGTAAAAAATTGGATAAAATAGAATAAAATGCTGATTTCGCATTCTAAAACAAAAGAAATATTTTGTATTTGTATTTATAAACTCTTAAACTAGCATTAACTCTTCAATCAATACTGAAAAATATAGATTTTGCATGACCGGTCATTTGACCGGTCGCGGTAGGAATAGTGTTAAAAGAGTTAAAATATTTTAACAAAGAATCAAAGTTATTTTCAGGAATGCAAGTAATTTTATCATCGACATATCTATAATAAAGGAAAAATTCAACATTAGATTTAGATTAGATTAGATTAGAACAATAAAAATGTTATAAGTTCATACAAGTTTTTAATTGATGTATTGCCTTGAAGACTGATTCTCATATATATATAGACTAAAGGCTAGACCTGCCTTTGCTAAAAACTAATCCGCACATCTCCGTTCAAAGTATTCTTCATTTGTTCAAAAATGACGGCATTTACATAGAATTTTGGGTTTGATATAAAAAGCCGCGAATATAGGAATTGGATCGCAATTTTTTTGGCCGCGAATAGCGAAAACGCGAATAAGGAACTTCTACTTAACCAGCATTTGTACTATGTATTTATATTATTAAACAATTACATACAATACACTAACTATGAGTAACAAACAGAATAATATAATGCACCAATTAATATTCTGTATTCATATAAGTTCTGTAATTATAAAGACTGTTTTTTTAGAGTTTGTTTCCTACTATGTCCTATTTCATGTCGCATTAATAAATGTTTAGTTTTGAATGTCTTATTGCATGTCTTGCATTCATAAGGTCGTTCTTCAATATGCAGTGATAAATGCTTTCTTAAATTACCTGCCTGTGAAAATCTTTTATTGCATATTTTGCACTCATAAGGCTGTTCTCCAGTATGTACAATTTTATGGTGCCTTAATATAGATTTAGTTTTGAATGTTTTATTGCATGTCTCACATTCATAAGGTCGTTCTTCACTATGCACTGATAAATGCCCTTTTAAACTACTTGACTGTGTAAATCTTTTATTGCATATTTTGCACTCATGAGGCCGTTCTCCAGTATGTATTATTTTATGTTCAGTTAATGCTTGTTTTGTTTTGAATTTTTTATTGCACATTTCACAATCATAAGCACGTTCTTCATTATGCATTAATATATGTCTTTTTAAATGACTTAACACTAAAAATGTTTTTTTGCATATTACACACTCATGAGGGCGTACTCCAGTATGGACCAGTTTATGCTGGTTTAAGTATTCTTTCAATCTGAATTTTTCATTACATATTTCACAAATATAAGGACGTTCTCCGGTATGCACTGATAAATGCCTTCTTAAATGACTTGACTGTGAAAATCTTTTATTGCATATATTACACTCATGACAGCGTTCTCCAGTATGTACTATTTCATGTTGAGTTAAATTTTGTTTTGTTTTGAATTTTTTATTGCATATTTCACAATCATAAGCACGTTCTTCACTATGCACTGATGAATGCTTTCTTAAATTACTTATCAGTGCAAATCTTTTATTGCATATTTTGCACTCATGAGGCCGTTCTCCAGTGTGGATCATTTCATGTTGTTTTAAGCTATTTTTTGTTGTGAATGTTTTATTGCATATTTCGCACACATAAGGATGTTCTCCAGTATGAACTGATAAATGCTGTCTTAAATTACTTGACTGTGAAAATCTTTTATTGCATAGTTTGCACTTATAAGAGCGTTCTGCAGAATGGATCCTTTCATGTTGTTTTAAGATATTTTTTGTTTTGAATGTTTTATTGCATGATTCACTTTTATACGGTTTCAAGTTATTAGTTGTTTTAGTTTTTGCTGAAACTTCTTCAAATGATTTGTTTGTGCTATCCACTAAATTACTTGAATTACTGACCTCTTCAACCCTTATATTAGAACTTTCATCTAAAACTGTTTGTTTGTGTTAGTCACGTCTTCTTGGTCATAAATCGTCTCTTGTTTTATTTTCCTCGTCAACTGTAACCTCGGATTTAAGAAATTGCTGCAGACATATATCATCATCCATATACAAATCTGATGTATTTTCACAATCACCAAATTCCTGTTTCACTTGAGGATAATCATCGAACGGTTCGATTTTATTGTTGTGTTTGAATTTGTTTCTTCAGACATTTTTGAGGTTAGTTTGGTTATAATAAACAAACTGGTGATGAGTTCTTAAAAATTGAGAAGTCTAAGTGTATAATAATAATATATGTGTTACAATATTTACTAATTCGTTTATTGTTTAATATGATTTAACACTAGCACTGACCTTTTAACTAAATTTATCTTCGAATTTAACTTTAATAATTCCATTAACCACTTTGACGTTTCTCCTTCATTTTGTTTTATAAACAACAGATCAAGTTGAAGTTAAAAACAAATCAGCTGTGAGTTTTTCGGCGGCAAATTTGAAATCGCAACACAATTGAAAAGTGAATGTTCATATTTTTCAGTTTCAGATTATGCTGAGACTTGCAACGACAAACATATTATAATTTTTTATGGCTTTTTAACAACGTTTTTTGGGCGAGCTGTATATATATATA